ACGGCGGAGACAGAGTCTTTCAGGGAGTCTGCCACTGCTACAGCCACACCATTTCGTTTAGTGTCATCTCCGTTGTAGAAGAGTTTGACACCCTCTCCAATTTCTCTGGCCTTTGCTCCCTTCCAGCGGGTCTCCTGAAGGCATAGGACATGGATGTTCCTGCGCTTCATAAGATCAGCGACTTCGCGGGACTTTCCAGTAAGCGAACCCACATTTAGAGTCCCTATTCGAACTAACTTCTTTAGCCGAGGTCGTTCACTCCTCGGTAGCCCTCGCATACTGTCCACAGAACTCAGGCGAGGGCCCTGTGCGCCACTTCCGGGTGACGTCCTAGCTTTATCACGGATACTCTTTGAGACTTTAGACATATTTGTTGTGACTGGTTTCTCCATCAGCCGGCCTGTCAACCTGGCCTGACGCTGGTACCGATACCATTTTTTTGCAAATTTTGCAAGGCATGGAGTTGCCTCGGCAGGGATCGAACTCGCAATTCCCCTAAGTGCAGACGTGAGCCTACACTCTTATCCACTCGGCTATCCCTGCCTCAGTACGAAGGAGCCATGTCTGGGGAATATGGAGGGTGTGGTAAAATTGTCCAGCCGTAATTCATCTATTTAGTTTCGGGCGTTCTTGCAATCTGAGGCCGAGCGTAGTGGTGCTGGAAGTAAACTTTGTGCTGCTGTGGACGTGAAACTTCGAGATTCGCCTTCAAATTCAGTTGCTTAATGTAGACGTCTGCGGTCAGTGTATGTCCTTCGTCTAGCAGCTCCCACTATTCGACACCGTGAACGCTCCACCAGATGCAGAGCACAACCTTCTTGACGTGTATGTTGGGTTTACGGAAGTCTTATACATCTGCACCTTTGTCAACCCATTGAGCACACCGGTGAACGTTAGAGTGACTCGTTGACTCCCAGTGACTAGGCGCTTGAGCCACGTGTGGGTGCGCTTGAGCGTGAGGAGAGAAAGTGCCATGTTGGCGCAGGGGTCCATGTCATACTGCTTCAAAGCATGGGGCACCCAGCTCTCGCACGAGTAGTTTGTTACGGATCGGCTTCCAGCACCAGCATCTGGCACCGCAGCAAATCCACATCCAACTCCATTGAGCGTCCGGGACGGTCCTCATCTTCGATGGAATAGTCGCCCGTCGCGAACTTCGAGTGCCACTTGTAATTTGTACTTCTGGCAGGGGTGTTCTCCTTGTTAGCTTCCGCCATAGATCCAACGAAGCCGCGGGTTCTCGGCCAGATGAAAAAAGAGAGGATGGTGTTGCGGAGGTAAAGTTGCAACGGATTGAGATCATGGGGCATGGTTGCAGGAAAGGAAACAGTCAGGTGTGTTCGTTAGTATGTATTCGGAAGAGCTTTTTATACTCTACTAACGATGCCTAGCGCGACCATTTTGTCACTTCTTTCCCGAGCTATGAGCATCACCATAACCATGTTCGAGGACTTGTGACTCAACCTAATATTTACCTGTCAACAATGGCTTTTCCCCGCTATCGGATATATAGCACTGCTTTAGCGCCCTTTCAAGCACATGTTTTCACAATTAAAAGGCATAATTTCCTCGAAATTCTTCGTACAAGCAAATAATAACGTTTTCAAACCAACGAATCGATCTCATTTCGTCCAAAAATGGCGGCGAGGCCAGGACTCGACCTTAAGAGCGTCTCACCACAGGACAGCGAAAGGATGTGCTGGAAACCTGATTGAAGACCACCCATCCTATCTCGTTCTTTTCAATTGCACACGTCTGCGCACTACCACATGCCGTAATAGCATCTGTTTTTACAGCAGAACTATCATTTGTACTTAAAACAACTTCCTACTAGAAGATTACTACAGGACTGCTACAAAAACCTCTACACATTTTTATCTCTAGAATTACTGTTAGAACTTGAAGTATTATAAAGCATTATTGACCGAATTGGAATATCACTGTGATCTAATGGAGGATGGTTCAGAAGAATAGTTGCGGCGAAAGCAAACAATGGAATTTGGTCTTGTACATATGTAACGAGATTTTATGTAGTAGGATTGAATCCTACGGCGTAACAACTCAATGACTTCAACATTGAACTTGACGTACTTTATTATTTGGGGGATACACGACAAGGTGTGCGAATACTACATAAGTGCTACTCTCGAAATCATTCTACCATAGTGCTGAAATTTTCAAACACAATCTCGAGTTTTTAGAGATGGAGTAACCTTTCCCAGACTCCCTCACATAGTAAATTATGTCAGGTTCAATACTAGAGTCATTTCCCTGCTCCGCTGCAGGGCTCGACCCAACCACATACAATCCCTTTACCTACAAGACAGATTCCGTTGCTTGCCTTATTGTTAGCTGCAACTATTCCTTTGTTTGTCTTTACTTGCAGAAAATTCGATATTACTTAAAGGAGCACCTGCAGAATTCGGATCAAGTTTGGGATGGGTTGGACGTAGGACAAGACCAACAGCGCACATGTAAGCTCAGCAAAGCTCCGGCGACAAAATGTCTCACTTAGGTTTCATAACAGCCCAGACCCCGAGAAAAATTGAGCGAAGGTGAGGGATGGGCCAACAAACGAAGGAGGCTCACCGGCTGTAGGCGGAGCGTTCTCGCAATGGGCGGTACTTGCCACACTACTTAGGATCAAATCCGATTTACCAAAGGTGAGGCCACGAAAAAAAAAACAAACGGAGTGTGCAAGGCCTTGTGCGTGCTGGGCATACGTAAACATGTCGAAGTTCCGTATACAATGAGCGGGTTGTGCATTCAGAGCTTATATTCTTTGGAAAAATTCATACCTCTGTTTAAAAGCGTTCGTAGGATGGCAACTTCCTGTACCCACTACCTTCAATTGAAAAACATTACACAAATGAAACAATAATGTGAAGCGTAATGGAACGCGACGCGAGAATATGAAGGGGCTGTATCATTTAGCAACATGGGCAAGGTGACCTTTTCCGAAAAAGTGAAATGAAAATTGTCCATGTTATTGAAACGAAAGTCGTTATTGGTCTGCAAGTTATATTCCGAATAGGGCACAATTTTCACATTAAACCTCTTCCCGAAGTGTCCTGGAACGTGAGTTTTGGTGGAATTTATGGGTGGGTGTATCAATAGTGGACGCAGTGTAGTTCTCTCTAGATTCGAATGCTAGGACTCCTTTGAGTGCATCGGTATCAGAAAATTTTCACGTTTTCTTAAATTGAAAGAAAAATAATTTTAAAAATAAAAAAATCAGTTTTTTACCTGATTTTTTTTATTTTGCGTTTAAGAGAATAGCACTACTGCTGGAAAGATATGACGGGTCCGGGAACTTCTCCCCTAACACGGCGTCGTACACGCCGCACCCGCCGCCTACCGCAGGATTGCGATGGAAGAGAGTAGCGCGCAATTTGTGAGGTAGGGAGTCCTTTAATTATTTGAATTGGCTGGCCGCTCTCTTCAATTCCAATGCGGTCTTGATCGTCGTTCATATAGGAGGAGTCATTTTAATTAATCAAGTCTAATAAACATGAAAACTAATAAGAAACAGGAGAAAAAACGATAAAATCCAGTGAATAAGCAAGCCAGTCAAGGAATAATATCGCGTCCTATCGATTGGCGGGAGACGGGGTGAGTACGGTGATTGCAGTGATATTCGCCGCATGCCGCAAGGGAGAATGCCGCGATAGGGGAGAAGTTCCGCTACCCGGATATGACCAAGTCAAGAATAGAAGAATAGGTGGATGTTGCCAATGGATCTTTTCTCTAAGGATATATCATTTAAAAAGATTCCTAGATTTGGCTTTTGGGATAAGTTTTGTAGCGAATAATATCAAAACAAGGAGAACCGTGGTCCCTCATTGAGTCACAAACCTTGCTGGATAGCGGTCATAATATAACAGCAATAAACGAACCAAGCTTTCATCTCTTCATAAAAAAGAAGCTTGATCGCCCCCTATCACTGCACGTACCACTAAGTTTTTGTCAGCCCACTTTACCATCCCGCCCTACCGAATGAAACATACTAAAGAGTCAAAACTACACACCTTCAACACCGCACTGATTTCTGGGTAACACCGGAATGATTTCAGGGTTCTATTTCGTAGATAGGTCTTGCTTTCTGTGGCCACGTATCAGCGCTCAAATCCCATCGGCCCACTAAGGGCGGTGTCCGGTTTTGCCACCCATCATGAATGGTTCCATTCTGCCTCCAGTACTCCTACCATATTCGAACGCTCTAGGTCCACCGGGACAGAAGTTATGATGTACCGCTCGAACATTTATTCTGTGAAAATCCCGCCCCCTGTGGGCGGAGTCCGCTTCTGCCACCCATCATAAGTGTTCTTATCCTGCCGCCTGTGCTCTTACAAGGAAGGTCTTTCAGGGCGTGGGACGCCTTTTGAAAATGTGTTTTTGCATGGTATAGGGGCATAAGCACTGTGTACAGAACTATGGTCTATTTCCGCTAAATGGCCTTCTGAATGCCAAAAAAAGGGTGAAAATGATTTTGTCAGAAATTGTCGTTTTAACCCACTGAGCGTCGCTTGTTTCATTCATGGCAACGACTGTCCGCTCAGCAGAAAGCGCCAGTGGACTGCGCATTGAAAATAACGTGAACAATAGCCAAAAAGGGAGCCACATGTTGAAAAATGCGGGGAAGTTTCATTCATGCTCTCCACGGTTGAGCTGCCGGCAGCGACGAATGGTGTGGTGAATAGCGATGTGGACTTCGAGTTGGGACGGCTACTCTGGGTTGGTGGTTGGAATCTCCGAGGACTTACCGTTTTTGCATTTTATGCTGCCATCTCCAGATTGGCTCAATGTTGCACCAGGGCCAAAGCAAGTGCCTGACCTGTCGTGGTCGCAACCAGGACCACCCATAACCTCTACAAGTCGTTAGAATTTGATGTGTGGAGCACTATCAGTGGAGGAACTTTCACGCTTCACACTCTCAAGAGTATAAAGGGGTTTCTTCATTTCGCACTATATAAGTGTTGTAAGGGGGTGGGGGTGAAACCCTATAATATGGTTCCTGTTCGATGGAAGCTGCCCTCGACCTCGTTCGTCAATGCAAAGATAACAGGATTCCCATATTCATTGTAGTTCCCGATTCCGACTTTTCCAGGGCGTCAACAGCGGACTTCTGTGGGGAAATGAATCAGGCTCTCTTTCAACTCGTCTTCTTGCTGAAGAACCCATGAGCATTGGGCTTGATATAAAAAGCTGTCACCAAATCACTCAAGCGCCAGATTACCACATTAATGATTAGATTAAAGGTTTGGGCGATACCCGTTCCCAACATACGATCCCCTAACTGTGCGTTCTGCTATGAAGGGCTGGCAGGACACGATCAAGGACATTCCTGAAGTCTAGGTGACTGCAGAAGATACTGATCGTGAGGAGAGAAGGAAATGGAGATGACCAACCAGAACATTGGACAAAAACCCTACAACGGCGCGAGATCAGCTAGGGTAAAAAACGGTGAAATCATCGAAAATGGATGCGCCCTCTATCAATTTTGAAGGAATTCGGTCGGAATAAAACAATAATCAAACCATTATCGTCCAAAACATCCAAAGAATTGTATGGACTGTGCAATGTACGTACAATGTCCGAAGATCAGATGATATGATATCGAGTTCTTTGACTACCAAAATGATATCATACCAATTTACCTACATTTTCCCAACTGAAAGATCTCTGGATGTGAGGGACACAAAAACAGCCGAACTGATGAAAAAAACTACGTGAGGAAGTTGAGGGGGGGGGGACCCCTGGGAGTGTGAAGCCTGGAAGCTCCTTCACTGATAGCTCCATACATCAAATTCTAAGACTTGAAGAGTTTATCGCTGGTCCTGGTCACGGCCATGACCAGTCGGGCACTTGCTTTGGCCCTGGTGCAACATGGAGCCAATCTGGAGATGGCAGCATAAAGTGCAAAAACGGCAAGTCCTCGGAGATTCCAACCACCAACCCAGCCTAGCCATCCCAACTCGAAGTCCACATCGCTATCCACCACACCATTCGTCGCTGCCGGCAGCTCAACCGTGGAGAGCATGAATGAAACTTCCCCGCATTTTTCAACATGTGGCTCCCTTTTTGGCTATTGTTCACGTTATTTTCAATGCGCAGTCCACTGGCGCTTTCTGCTGAGCGGACAGTCGTTGCCATGAATGAAACAAGCGATGCTTAGTGGGTTAAAACGGCAATTTCTGACAAAATCATTTTCACCTTTTTTTTGGCATTCAGAAGGCCATTTAGCGGAAATAGACCATAGTTCTGTACTCAATGCTTATGCCCCTATACCATGCAAAAAACCATTTTCAAAAGGCGTCCCACGCCCTGAAAGACCTTCCTTGTTAGAAAATTTGAACGTGCTAGGTCCACGGGGACAGGAGTTTTGAAAACGGACAGACAGGCAGACGCGAGCGCTTTAAATAGTACCAGTTCAGCTATGCATGCATTGTTCACAACCGCTAATCCATAGGCTTAAAACTTCTGCAATTACTTTATCAAGTGATATCGAATTTCCGTGCAAACAGATAGACAGACGCGAGCGCTTCAAATATACTAAGGATAGTAAGGACAAAATTATTCAGGCTGCACAGAAGATATGTCAAAGTACGCCTCCCAGGCTCCTTCTTCTTTTCTCTTCGAAAAAACGCCTCTAAGATATACTACGACGGCAGGATCTAATCGAACTCTGCTTCAGTTTTGTACTCTCACTCAGCGGAACAGTGAAAAGAACTTGCAAGAAAAGGGGAACGAATTCCTTTTATTCAACATTTCTCGGGCATAGTACCTTCGTCACAAAAAGGAAGAGAGCCCGGCCTCAGCCGGGCGATCCGACTGGTCCAGAATGTGAGCAGCCATACTATGGGAGGACAGTAAAATATGGTAGCGCAGCCACTAGGCCATAGATTATTCTTTGATATTTTACAGCTATTACCCAGCACTCTGTCGTAATGAGCGCTGATATCTGTGCTGTTATTAATGAATCGCATGTGCGAATATGTGCACGATAACCCAAACAGAGCACGCTTTACATATATGACCAGATCAATATGAGAAATGGGGCAGAAACGATCAGTGAGATCAACGCGTTCGTTAAGGCCAGATGCGTGTGCACCTGGATCCGCACATAGATTGCTAAGATTCGACCTGCTATTCAAGAGACATACTATAGAGAGATTGCAAGTGCATTCACCAGAATACAAAGTGGTCAAGAGGAGGAAGCTTTTCGCCGTGCCACAGATCGAGACACATCTTTCAGATCGGATTTTAATTTGAACGCAGAGCATGAGGTTGCGGATGGAGCTGGAAAGGCACCGCATGGCCTAATTGATACTCGAACACTCCTCTGTCCTGGGAAGTCATAGCACTCTACACTAAACTGAAGACAAAAAGTGGAACGATAGAAGAAAACACAGCCTAGCGATAGGGAGTGAAAGGTAACATGTTTTGAGTGTGAACTTGGCAACTTAACGAAATCAGTATAAACAGCATCGTACTTGTGAATATAGCGCCAGAAACAAATACCTGAGCTATGAGCGGTGGTGAAGGAATGGATCGTTTTTTTGTTGAAATGTCACTCGTCGGTGCAGCTACATTCTTAGCAAGTGGCGGGATTTGAATCGAAGTTGCCCACAGAGCTTCCACTGGCGCTTAAAACTTATTTAATCCGGATTAATCGAATCCGTCTTTCTTGTGGATCAATCACTCTTTTTCATTTCTCTCCCATTCTCTGACTCCTAAGCATCCTGACTCCACAACACTGTTTTCCAACAATTGGATCAAACTGTTCTTTCACTGAAATTCCCAATTATGCCTTGTTGAGTTGAGGAAAATTTGATCTTAATTCACAGCTCACCATTGAGGGCTACGGCGAACACTGAGGGCTAATCGGGACACAATGGGTGGATTAACCTCATATCCTAAACATACCAAACTGAGGGGTTATATGCAGCCCAACCATAGAACAATGCAAACCAACCCAAGCTGCTTGCCATTTACAAAACTTGACCACAAATGATTGAGCTTAACTCAGATGTTATCTTCTGTGGAACGTATATTTCGATTCACTTCACTTGCATTAAAAGAATAAATAAAGAAAGAGATCAATGGAAGCCTTCGAAACATACAGTGATCCTCAGAATCAGCACAACTTCCACCGCAACTCGCATGATCCTCATCAACGACGACCTCTTCTTCGATATCCGCATTCACCTCAGCTAATAACGCCAGGACAGGATGAGGATCGGTCGCATTTGCTATGAAGGGATGCTAAAAAACAACATAGCAGTATATGGCATCCACATAACTCATAGGAAAGGTTTGAATGACGACCAGTCGTACCGATAATATTTGTTTGGCTGTTTTTCGATCAGCTGGATTTTTTACCAAACACTGACTGAGAAAATCAGCGAAAAATACAGACCAACTGGAAGGATTGTCAAGCGTTGGTGGTGCTGACTTCTGAACCTTTATCAGAACTCGCATTGGTGATACCTATAATAAAACCAAGAGATGAATGCAGTTGAAACTGTGGACCTTCAACGTTAACCTATAGAAAGTTATTGGAACTGTTTTAGTAACTACGAACTAGTGAGGAACAACAATAGAAGATGCCTTCATAAGTAGTTCCACAGTAATAAATGAAAATGCAAGAGAGGCCGGCAACTTGAAACCTACGTTGGCATGGGGTGGCTCCATTTGAGCCATTTCAATGAGCGTGATACCTAAAGACCAAATATCCGATCTCGTTCCATATGGCTGATCTTTGAATGTTTCACACATCATCACTTCAGGAGCCATCCTTATAATGGTACGCTATGTCGAATATTCTCAAATTGCCTAATTTTATGTATGATCGAGCAACTTGACTGACCAGTAAGGTGTCCCAATAAACGTATCTCTTTTCTCATTGCGATCCTTCAATTTTGCGGAAACTCCGAAGTCAGCTGAAAAAGAAGTCCATGCACTAACAGTTCGTTGTGGATTGAGTATAAACTAACCCAATTTGACTACTCCATCACTAGTGAGGAGAATGTTTCCGGCTTTTAGATCACGATGAATAACGTTGTTGTCATGAAGAAAAGCGACTGCTTCACATGTGTACCTTCAAAAATATCGCATGCTTGAAAAGGAAAGTGAACATAAACTTTTCCACACATAGCACTACCAACCTTGCAACATAGGCGATCTGCTTTTCGGTTAGAGGTTTCTCTAATTCAATCATGATCGCGTCGACAGCTCCGCCACCACAGAATTCCAACAACATCTAAACGAGCAACACGTACCGCAAAGTCAACGAGGCGCAGCACCATACAGGCCAAACAAAAAAAACACAGAGCACTCAAACACAAAAGATAAGTGGGTGGAAACAAAATCAGGTAGAAACGCTAGAGCAAACATTTAGCAACTTACGTGTAACTTATTTTCAAAAAAGTAACAAGCATATAAGTTCACGATATTGGCATGCTTGCACGACGTCAAAATATCGATTTCAACTAGGAAATCCTTCAACTCCTCACCTTCTTGAACCTCAATAGCCTGGAAAGGAAAGCGATATTCAAAACAAGGTTTTGAAAGTGACTTCAAACGGTGACAATCGTTCACCTTAGCTGCCGCAAATAAAGATTGGTCTGCTTTCGAAACCGCTTTTTCAACTTTACCAAAGGCACCATCTCCAAGGTCCCCAACTATTTCCCAGAAATCTTTAGGATTGACATTAACCTTAAGTAAAGACCGACTTAAAAAGTTCATCATATTATATATGAAACGGAAAGGGAGCAAGAGACAGTGTGTGAGAGATTATGAGAAAAACAAGAAAATAAATGCGAAAGGAAAACGGAAGACGGAGCTCACCTCGATGATTGATGGTAACTGCCACCGTGTCTCTTCAACAGCGGAACTTCGGAACAGGTTTTTCACCCTACCGAAGAAGGACATCCCAAAGACCTAGTGGTGCGGGCAATGTGTGGTCACCTAGAATTTAGCAATGTACGGCCGAAAACGTTAGAGGAGAGCGACGGCAATTGCCAACGATTATGAGAAAAGAGCAATTGAAATGAGTAAGAACTATTGTGGACCTAGGTCGATGACGGTGAAAGTTGATCAGTCGTCGCCAGTTAGACGAGAACGCCGCCGAGATCGTTAGACCGTATTGCTGGCGCAGTAAAGAAACCGAACACGCCATCCAGACCTGTCCGAATAACAAAAGGTGACACAATCCAGCTTTCTCTATTCGGATAGGCAAAATAACCCCAAATTCTAAACTTTACACAACAGACTATTATGCACCAAGCTTGCCCTCAAAAATAACACAAGCTTTTCCAAGAGCAGGCAGACTGTTAAGCCCCTTCCAATACTGCTTTCCAAAGAATCCTCAGGGCCTCCAAAGACACAACGGGTATCGTCGTCTACGGTGACGATCCCCATAACTATATCGTCGTCTCACTGTCTGAGACGGTTCCCTAGCTGAACCCACACCCCTAAACGGTGCGGGGTCAAGCAGACCCGAGATAAGCGGGTCCGCACTCCTCTTCTTCAAGTCGTCGAAGCAAGACGTGAGTTGCCTGCCTTATAAAGTATTGCTTACCATTATTGTGTACTGTTTTAGCGGATTCGACCGCACTTACTACATTATTGTGTTACAAGTGAGCTACGCACGCTCATGCGTGCACCACATGTCCACAACCGCTTATCTAGGATCTTACTCGAGAAGAGCAGTAAAACATTTTCATTTTCCGTATAAACGACACTGCTTCACCCAAAATCCCCCTTAAGTTCATTTCTGGAAATCGCGCGTTAGAGTTAAGCACTCAAGAGCAAAATATCCTTTCAAGAGGGTAGCTGTCATTACATGTATATTGAAAATCTCGTTCGAAATTGCGATCGGGGCGGTGGTGCAGAGAAGCACTGACTCGTTCATCAACCGGCCACTGCAAGTCATTGCGTAGGCCACATACGCATTCAATACGCCGCTACGATTCTGAATGGAAGACGGATGCGTGGGCGCATCCCTCAGACGGGACTGATTAACGCCCCAAAACATTATTTAATTGCGCATCAGAGAAGTAATGGAAAACAGTCAGCAGAGTGTTCGATGATGCCTGATACCAACAAATGCCAATGTAAAACCTTTCCTACCCTACCTTCTCTCTTTTCTAAAAAACTGGTTAGCCTGCGATCTACTTTCCCACAGCGCTCATTTGATCTCCACGCTCTTGATCGTGCCTACGTCACTTTTGCGAGGACACACAAACGGACATACAAACGGACACACAAAGTTAGCAGTTTATATATGTAGAGGATATTTACTCCGTCATCACCGGAGCCCTTATAAATAACCACTGAACCACCCGCACATTTTTGGTGCATCGGCTAAGATAAGCCGATATTCAACACCCAAAAACAACTTTTGAAATTAAAGTAGAGTCGAACGTGGCCTACAACTTTCGAAAGGTAACCAAACAGAATCGAACGAGGTTCTGCATAGTAAATAGAATCGAACGAGGTTCCATCATAAATTTTAAAGACGCAATATAATGCTAACAAGGAAAGGATCCCAAGTCGAAGGGGCCATTTGAAGTGGGACCTATCCTGCTAGACCTATTTTTTGATGCTGATTTCAAATCTGCATTCAAAATCTGCCAAACGATTCTGAACGAAGTTATGGGGGTGGTCTCTGGAAAGCGCTCAACAGGGAAAAGCACAAAAGCCATGGTCGCCGGCATCCCAACAGTGGCGACTTGGAGTGGAGGTAAACGTGACGATTCCTA